CCTGCTCCTCCTGCTCCTCCTGCTCCTCCTCCTCCTCCTCCTCCTCCTCCTCCTCCTCCTCCTCCTCCTATTCCTCCTGCTCCCCCTGCTCCTCCTGCTACTCCCCCTCCTCCTCCTCCTCCTCCTCCTCCTCCTCCTCCTCCTCCTCCTCCTCCTCCTCCTCCTCCGCCTCCCCCCCAGACCCTCGACGCGTCTTGCTTTTCTCACGGCGCCAGCCCCCAGAAGTCTCGACCCGTTCCCAAGGGACCGCTGTCTTTTTTTTTGTACGACGACATGGGAGCGAAGAGCGCCTCGGAACGTTCCAGGCAGGCTGCGATGGACTAGACCACGCTGGGCGTCCCCGCCACCCCGACCGACACAGAAGCCTCGGCCGACATGTCGGCAAAACCTTTAAAAAAAGTATACAGTAGTGCTCGTCGCTGCGGCGGCCCTCCCGCGGTCGAAGGGGTGCTGCCTGTCTTATCCTCTGAGTCGTTTCTTGGACGGCCCCGAGGCCGGGCAATGGCCCCCAGAGGCCGAAACCAGCGAAGCGCCTTCCGTCGTGATTGTTTCAGGACTCGAGGGGGTCTGGAGTCAGCCCATTGAAAGGACCGACCATCCGGGCATTCCTATTGGCCTGCCACAAAACCTTCTCTGACCACGCAAACATTGTTCTGATAACGCAAAGCTAGTGTGCTAGAACATAACGGTTTCAACCAGGCATGTTCTCGGATAACATTTCGCGCAAGCCGCAAGAGGCCCTTAGAACACTGGGCCTACAGGCGAGCCAAGACGCTTCTAAGACGAAACCAGGACGAAGAAAAACTCGGGTGAGGATAAATCGAAAATCTCTGAGATCTGGCGGCTACGCAGGATATCTCGGGCGCCGCGGCCTTGTCAGAGCGTTCCAGGACGCTCTGAGAGCGGATTTGTCCTCGTCCTGGCCCCGTCCGAGCTTCGCCACTTCTCGAGTAAGTGAATGCGGAAAGCAAAAAGGCACCGCTACCGCTACTCCCCGGACCTGTCCAGGGGTGCGTTCTGACCAGAACTTCGAGGAGAATCCAGCGGTGGCGACGAGGGCCTCCGAGGAGGCCAAATGCTTGCCGTCGCTCGGACGTCCATTTCCCGTGTATGCTTCGCTTTCGTGCGTGTTTTTTTTTTGCTCGATGGTCCAGGATGGTCCTCGATGGTTCTCGCCGAGAAAGAATGCACACGCCCAGCAGGCGATGCCAAGAACAAGGGAAAACGGGCGGAGCGAGCGTAGGGGTACCTTTTCCTTCTCTGCAGGGGAGGGCCGCGTCCTTCGCCGAGCCGGCCTTCGCGCCGCCGGCGCCGCGGCTGCGGCCCGCCGGGCTGCCGCGCCCGCGGCCGCCGCGCCGCCGGCCGCCGCAGCTGCCGCCGCGGCGGCGCGCGCCGCTGCGGGCGCGGCTGCCCGGCGAGCGGCTGCCGCCCGGGGGGCGGCTGCGCTGGCGCCTGGGGCGTCCCGCGGGGCAGGGCACTATTAGGTCGGGCAGGTCCTCCTGCAGGCGGAGTTTGGACGAAGGGTTAAGGAGAATAGTCAAAGCATGCTCGAAGGTGGTCAAGAGTGGTGAGGGATCCTCCCCGGACCATGTTTGAGTATTCCTCCTGTAGAGGGGCACGCCCGACTGAAGGCAAGCACAGTCCCAGACCTCCAACGGCTCGGGAAACTCAAGGCACAAGTCTTCTTATCAGGCGTTTCGACATTGGGCGGAAAGGGGGGGGGGAGGGGGGGGGTCTGGCTCCAGACCTCTGCCTCGTGCGACTGCTGCGTGCAGCAGTGCGCCCTAATTCGGGGGGGAGGCTCCACCTGCTCGAAGTGGGCGCCAAAAACAGCCAAGATCTACTCCATGGGTGGGGGGGGGATCGAGTGCGAGGGCCCGCGCCGATCGGCAAAACAATGAATAAGAAAACGGTCACAAAACGAATCATGTTTCGCACTCATCTGCCTCTGGGGTCCCCCGCCGGGCCCCAGGATCGTCCAAAAATGGCCCCTAGGATGAAGAGCCGGTCCTGGGGGAACGGTCCAAACCTGTTCGGGACCCCGCGTTGAGAAACTCACGACGCCGGATGTCTGGAATTCGGTCGTCGGTCGTCGTCGTCGTCGTCGTCGTCGTCGTCGTCGTCGTCGTCGTCGTCGTCGTCGTCGTCGTCGTCGTCGTCGTCGTCGTCGTCGCCGTCGTGGCGGGCGCCGGCCGCGCGCCGCCGGGCCCGGGCCCCTCCCGTGGGTCGAAGGGGTGCTGCCGCCCTGAGGCCCTGGCGTTCGCAGGTCGGTCGTTCGGTCGGCCCAGACATACACCCTGCGAAATGCTTAAGAAATCATGGGTTAAGAAACTCATAGTCTCAGAATTTGAATAATAACCCAGGCTGTCTATTAAAATCTTCGGATCTGCATTGAAACATTAAGAATAATCGAGACCCTGGCCGAAAACGTAAGTTTTCTTAAGCATCGCCTAGGGTGTAAGGAACCGAACTCTCTATACACCGACGCCGTTGTCTGGTCTCGCACTGAACCTCGCACAGGAAAGCGGGTCCTGGTGTGTGTACGGGATCCTGGTGTAGACCTTCTTCGCTGCTTCCCCGGGAAAGCGGGGAAGAAGTCTACACCACACCACCCCGACGTCGTCCCCGACCCTCAAAAGGTCGTGGGATTGAACAAACAACCTGCCACTGGTAATGTATATGTTCCAGTTTCCGACAAAAAGGGGTCCAGCTGAAAGGGGGTGGTGCAATAGGTTTGGGGCCACTGTATTGCAAACGTACTGCGCCCGAAAAGCGTCTTGCACGAAATTGCAACTACTGTGTTGCACGCCCAAAACCCAGCAATACATTTGCGCACCGGAATGTACTGCACGCCCCAATTATATTGCAACCCAACAGATCTATTGCACAAAGTATATTGCACCACCCCCTTGTCGCTGAACCCCCTTTTGGGTCAACCAGAGGTCTGACTAGACAAATGGCTCAAAATGTTGATATCGGGCTCTGGTCGTGATGTTTCTCGGTCTTGCCATTTTGTTTGCAACGCCGGATCTCAGGGGTCAAGAGGTGCTTCCATGAGGAGCGCCAACCCATACCTCCATCTCGAGCAAACAAACCTTGAGCACGACGGGAGGTTTGAGGCGGTCTTCGGCCTCTGGGGACCCTCACCAGGCCACGGAGCCGTCAGAACACACCTCAGGACGAAAAGCCGGTCCTTGGGGAACAGGTCCAGACATCTGAGGGACCACGTTGAGAAAATCACTCGGCTACACGCCAGAGTGACCCTAGACAAGAGTGTCCTTTGGCGCGCGGAATAGGGGGGCGCAAGGTGGCCAAATCCAAGCGCGCAAGCAGCCGCGAAAACATCGCGCGGAGTAGTCGACGGGGCCCCGATGAGCCCGTGCCAAGGGTCTCTTTGGCGAAGGGTCACTCCCTCGGGGATGGACATAGCCCCCTTTGGTAAAACGTGGTTTAGTGAAAACGACCTCGGGCCCAAACCAGGCGGGCCCAAGCCTGGAACATGATGGCCGCGGCGCCCCCTCGAGAACCGAAAACGGACAATTCACTAATCGACGTGTCAGGGTGGGGGTGCAGTCCACCCTGACACATCGATTAGTCAAATTATGGCGTCTGAGGACTGGCAGCTGCCGACATGCTGGCGGCGCGCGCAGGGTCGGCGGCGCGAGGCGGGGGGCCTTCTCTAAGAAGTGCTGGGGGACTTCGAGGGCGGCGTCTTGGAAATCACTCCCTCCTCCTCCTCCTCCTCCTCCTCCCCTCCTCCTCCTCCTCCTCCTCCTCCTCCTCCTCCTCCACCTCCTCCTCGTCCTCCTCCTTCTTCTCCTCCTCCTCTCCTCCTCCTCCCCATCCTCATCCTCCTCCTCCCCCAACTCCTCCTCCTCCTGCTTCTCCTCCTCTTCCTCCTCCCGGAAGCCATCTTGGAAGCCCCATGGGCCCTTTCTAAGGATCCCCCCGCCTTCTAAGAAGGCCCCTGGATCCCCCTCCTTCTCGGGCTCCCCCGTCCTCTGTGCGCGCCCCAGGAGGAGAAGGAGGAGGAGGAGGAGGAGGAGGAGGAAGAGGAGGAGGAGGAGGAGGCGGCGGAGGAGGAGGGAGGAGGAGGAGGAGGGAGGAGGAGGAGAGGAGGAGGAGGAAGGAAGGAGGGGGAGGAGGAGGAGGAGGAGGAGGAGGAGAAAGAACGAGGATGAGGATGAGGATGATGAGGAGGAGGAGGAGGAGAAGGAGAAGGAGGGGGACGAGGAGGAGGAGGAGAAGAAGGAGGAGGACGAGGAGGAGGTGGAGGGGGACAAGGAGGAGGAAGAGGAGGAGGAGGAGGAGGAGGAGGAGGAGGAGGAGGAGGAATGCCAAGTGTGTTTTTTTAGTCACGGCGAGCCTCGACCACCATAGGGGAAAGTCCAGCGGAAAAGGGGAACAACAAATGCGGCTCGCGCCACGGGGCCCTCGCCCCGTCTCTCGCCCTGAGGGCGGGGAAGGGTGGCCTGTCGCCTGGAGGTCTTCCCTCGCCTCCTCTCGCCCTGAAGGCGGAGCTCGTCCCCGCAGCGACCTCTGGAACCGGGCGACTCTCCCTGCCGAGCGCGGGCATGAAGCTGCCTCGTGGCCGCTGGCGGCGTCGGGCCATGGCCAGCTTTGCGGCCCCGCCCAAGGCCGAGGAATCGAAACTTCCTCCGGAGGCTGGCAATGACGGAGAACGAGGCTAGCGATGCCGATGCCACCGTGTCCACTTTGGCCTCAGAATCTGCGCAGATCACGTCAGGCCCTTTCGCGCCTCGTCTGGGACAGACAATCCGAGAAGCACAAACCCATATGGCTCACCATCGCCACCATCTCCCTCGTGAATTTGTCTCTAACGTTTCAACGTGATGTATGAAATACTGACTCCCTCTTTGACTGCCTGATGCCGTCCAAGATGGCGACGGCTTCCGCGACAGAAACACGGCGGCCCACGCCTCTGCGGCGCGATGTGCTAGAGGTTCCAGGTCCTTCGCTCCACCACCCACGAGGCGGATCCCTCAAGCAAGCTCCGGCAGCTTCTGGGCTGGAGCGAAACTCCTGTGAGAGGACGAGAAAGACGAAGACTCGTCGTCCGATTCCCCGCCCGGTTCCTCGGTCGCCTGCATCTTTTGCCAGAGCAGCTCATGCGGCAAATAGAGGCCGAGCACGGAACCGGCACGCTGGGTCGCAGGGCAGCCACTTTCCGCACGGCAAGGCTGGGACATGGCGGGGGCAGCAGGTCGGGGAGGTCGAGGATCTTTGTGCCGACGGTCGGGTCTGCCGGGGGGGGGGGACATCGGCCAGGTCGCTCGGTCCGGGGTCCCCGTCGCTTCGCCCTGAGTGGGGGCCCCTGTCTGCGAGGGCGCCGGGCTTCGCGGGGTCTGACGTCTGTAGCCCGAGTCCGGAAGCGTGGCTGCGTCGCCACCCTCGGTCTGGCGGTGGGGTGCGGTCGGCGTCCTCCAATCGGCGATTGCCCTGTTCGTCTTCAGGCCCTCCCCTGCTCCTTCTGCTGGCGGGCGACGCGGAGGGTGGCTTGGCACGCGATCGTGGGTCACGGCCCCTGAGGTCGTGGTGGTCGTCTCCTGACCGTCGTCTCTGCTCTCCCTGGGGGTGTGCTGGCTGGCTCCTGCGGTCGGGTCCTCGCGGGGACGCTCGGTCGCGGCCCCGGGGCCGGCCCTCGCGGCCCTCGCGGGACCTGGCCCTCGGACGGGGGGGTGGGGGCTGCGTGCGCGGAGAAGGGCCCCTCCTGAGCTGGCGGCGCGGTCGCGGTCAGGGTGCTCGGCGCGGCATTGGCTTCGCCATGCCGACTGCATGGCCCAGCACATGGCGCTGTGCGCCCTTTCGGCTCTCCCGAGTGGCTGGCCTCCGCGGGTCTGGCCTGGGTCACTGGCCTGGGCCTCCCGATAAGGCTCCAAGGGGGGGGTCCGCGAGCGCCTCGTTCCTCCTACCCTGGTCCTCGCGGAGCCCCCCTGGAGCCTTTTCAGGATCCTCTGGAATATCCCCTGGGGCTCGCCATCGCCCCTGGAGCCTCCTCCTCCTCCTCCTCCTCCTCCTCCTCCTCCTCCTCCTCCTCCTCCTCCTCCTCCTCCTCCTCCTCCTCCCCCCTGGAGCCGTTCAGGATCCAGCTCGGTGAGCGGGGTGATATCCCGCGCGGACGCGGGAGGCTCCCCCAGCAGCGGGTTCCGGGCGGGGACAGGCGGCGGCGGGGGCCGCGGCCTCTTGGGCGGGGGTGGGTGGGTGGGTATAATGCGGGATGACGATTAATAAAAAAGTGGGGGGGGGGGGAACGATTAAAAAAAGAGTTTCCTGCTATTTCTGCACAAGTTTCTGACTGGAGGAGAACGATGAAAAGAAATAGTTTTCCAGCCCGCGGCCGGTTTTTTCTAATCGTCATCCCGGGCGCCGCCCCGTGAACACGACCCCCGGTCATTTATTAATCGTCATCCTCCATTACCTTGGCGCCGTCCCTGATCTTCACCACATCTGTTGGTCGCGCGCTCCGGAGGTCAACCAGGCAGCGCTCACAGAGTCGGGTGGCGTTCCACTGCATGGCCAGGAAGGTACCGACCCAGTCGCTGAACGGTGGCAGGCCCCGGGTGGGAGACGTCGGGTTGGGCACATCGGGGCGGGGCGGAAGATGGACATCCCACTCATGTAGCGTGGCGGTATCAGGGCAGCGGTCGCATCTGCTTTTCCACACTTGTGTCGCAGCCGTTTGACCGAACCTGTCGTCGTCGGTGCGCTGGGCCGGTCAGGTGGTACAGACCGTGCCTGGGTCGTTGAGTCCCTCCTGGGGCAGCAGGAACTGCCAGAGTGGTGGGCGGGCGTTGGGGAGAGCAACCTGGGCTGCCGCTGGCAGCTGTTTCAGTCCTGGGCGGGTGGGTGCAGCTGGTTCATGTTGGTCTAGGTCACGCAGGGAGTTGGCCAATTGTGTGCCCTGTGGGATCGGTTGTCCTTGTGCCTCTTGGGAGACCATCCAGCAGTTGATGCAGATCAACCGGGAGTCGATCCCCTGCTTGTATGCGCTCCTGTGGCTGACTGCTGGGGTCTTGCGGATCTGCGGGTTGACCCAGGCACCAGCCTCGGGGCCGTGACTGTGAGGACCTCGCGAGCAGTCCTCGCACCATACCTGGGGCGGCTGGGCAGTCGGCAGAAACCTGGTGTCCCTGGTGTGGAGAATCGCGGGGATGAGCGTCACTCCTGGAAGGGCACCCGTGGGGGGTGGTTCGTGCAGCTCGCGCCCGCTGCTGGTCTGCCCGCTGCCCGTGCATGGGGCCTTGGTCGGGGCTGGCGAGGCGGGAAGGAGCTCGACGTCAGAGCCAGTCAGGTCCTGAGAGAGTGCGCACACGGCGGACTCGTGCACGTCCCGCACAGACAGGTCGGCCGAGACGGTGAGCTGGTCGAAGGCCGCCAGGCTGGAAGAGCTCGACGTCAGAGCCAGTCGGGTCCTGAGAGAGTGCGCACACGGCGCGCTCGTGCACGTCTAGCACAGACAGGTCGACCGAGACGGTGAGCTGGTCGAAGCCCGCCAGCGCGCCTGTCGAGGGGAAGTCCACCGCAATCAAAACACGTCGCCGGGGGTCTGAGCACGGGGGCTGCGGGGCCCCTCTGCGGCCGGGCGTCCGGCCGAGACTGGCGAGCTCCTCCAAAACTGTAGCATCGCCGAAGCTGGCGGAGTCTCCAGGGAACTCGCCGAACTTCGGGCGTTGACAGAACTAGGTTTAGTGACACCTGGTTTAGTGATGTGTCCTGGGGGACGCCCCCCCCGCTCCGTTCCACTAACTGGAACTGCCGTGACGCCCCCCCCGTGCCGTGTCGGGTGACGGCAGTGCCGTCACCCGAAAAAACACAGGCTACGGCAGACCTGGTCTAGTGTGATTCTGGCCAATTCAGGGGCCCCGGGGCCCCACCACTGACCTGGTCCCCTGACCTGGCGTCCTGGCTATACCCCGAGAACTCTCAGGAACATGCCAAGCTGATTACGGCATCCCCAGCACGGCTCATATTGCCATCCAGAAGCCCGCACGTCGCACAGCTGGTCGGCGGGCCGTGCTGGTTCCGAGCTCGGGCCTCCCAGGGCCCGGGCCGGAGCGGCCGTGAGCCCCGGGCTCCAAGGAACCGGGCGTGCAGGCTGCTGTCAGGCGGTCGGTACCGCCCTCCCGCCGCCATGAAAAAGGCCACGTCAGGCAAACGTTGCCCAAGTCTGCCCCTGGGCGCCCGTAGAAAAAGGCCATCCCCCCGGGGCCATCCAAGACAACCCCGGAGGAAAAAAAACCCGGATTGTACACGAGCGGCGCGCAGCAGGGCAGCTTCTGGCGGCGGGCCCGCCGCCGCTTTGCCATGCTGCCGCCGGCCGTCCGCCGGCCGCCGCCGCCGAGGGCGGGATGAAGCGAAGTGGGGCCGCTCCTGTGGGCGAGGAGGGACAGATCGTGTTGAGAGGAAGGGGCTAGGAAGATACAGGGCGCGACTGTGTATCAAGCCCGTTCAGCACACGCGATGATATGGATCAGCCGATCATCTCTCCCAACCCCGTCTTCCCAACCCGATAGTTGTCTCTCTGAGTGGTGAGGAAGAAAATATCGTGTTGGGAGGACGGGGCTGGGAAGATACAGGCCACGACTGTGTATCAAGCTTATTCAGCATACGCGATAAGATGGATCACCTGATAACCTCTCCCAGCCCCATCCTCCCATCCCGAAAGCTGTCTCTCTGAGCGGGGCGCCCTAGCATGGAGAGAATGGGTCCTGGAGAAAACGGGCCCTTGAGGAGCTTGCCGCCAATTTCGGGCCCCCAGGGCCCTTTTTGCTGGCCTGGGGACCGTCAGCAACACGGCTCAGAATGAAGAGCCTGGCGTCTAGGACCCGTTTCCCTCAAAAGCCCCTTCCTTCAGGAGCAAAAGAACGTCACATCAATAACCTGTCGGACCTCCGCGCGGATTTCCACTATCAGCGCTCGAATCCCCTTATGGCGGGTCCGGCGCTGGCCCATGGCGTGCTCGAAGCTCCAGAGGGGGGGGGGTCCAGTGCGGATGCAAGATGCCTGACATGACCCCTGACAACGTTACGCTCATGCTGTTGTTTCTGATATTTACCCCTGAAAGCTTGATCACCCTTCTTCCACCGGCACGGAAGGCAATATGTACGTGAGTCGATGTAACCGAACAGACATCCAGAAACTAACCAACTCCATCAATCCTGAATCCCAAAAGGCTGGAATCTCTTGGGAGGGCAACGTTTTCTTCCGCAGGGCTGCGCGCGCGGGGCCTCCACGGAACCACCCTCGTTTTGCGCCCGCCGCCTTCTAGCTGCCCGTCCGCCACCTTCCGCCGAGGAAGCGATGCCAACTCATTCGGCCCTCGAAGAAGAGGCCTTCCCTGGAGCGTGCCAAATTAAGCAAATCTTAGTTTTCCCTTCGGGCGATAAGCCACCCGACCCTCGGCACATTGTGGGGCGCGTAGTACTCAAAGTTCGCAGCCCCTGACACAGGCCGAAGGGGAAACAAGCTCGGTCGGCCGCACCTGGCCGCCTTCGCACTGTCTGGCCACGACGCACCGCAGAGAGGAGGAGGAGGCGGATAATCAAGAGCAGGAAGAGGAAGACAACGATCCAGGGCCCCGAAACCGTGTGGTGACGGACCGCGTGGTGACCTCGGAACCCCCAACGACCTCGCCGCGCGGTCCGTCACCACGCGGCCCTGGGACCTCGGAGACCGCACTCGCCCGAGACACCTTCGGAGAACGACCCAAGTCCCAAAACCTTGTGGTGACCCCGCGTCCCCACTGACTCACCACCTTGCCATCGCTCGGACGCCCCTTCCCCGTGCATGCCTCGGTTTCGCGCGTTGTTTTTTTTTCCGCGAGATGATACCGGATGTTCCTCGATGGCCCCCGCAAAGAAAACCATGCACACGTCCGAGCGATGCCGAACCACACGGCGTGGTCACCACACCGCTCGGGACCCCCCGAAAACGAGGAGGCGAGACCCAGACCCGCGACGTCGTGATTTGTTCACAACGTCGACCCCCAGAGGTCTCGACCCCTGCCACGGGACCAGCTTTTTTTACGACGACATGAGAGCGAAGAAAGCCTCTGAACGTTTCAGGTAGGCTGCGATGGACTAGACCACGCTGGGCGTCTCCGCCACCCCGACCGACACAGAAGCCTCGGCCGACATGTCGGGAACGCTTAGAAAAGAGCATACAGTAGTGCTCGTCGCTGCAGCGGCCCTCCCGCGGTCGAGGAGGTGCTGCCTCGCGCCAATCGTTGTCTGCCGGTCCCGAGGCCCTGGGCAGGGCCCCCGGAGGCCGAGGATTGCGAAGCACCTCCCGCGTCGTGATTGTTTTGGTCGCAGCGCGAGGGGGGCCTGGGCACGGCGGGGGGGGGGCTGGACCCTTCGCCCTCGCTTCAAAGAAGAGGAGATGGAGGAGGAGGAGGAGGAGGAGGAGGAGGAGGATGAGGATGGAGGAGGAGAGGAGGAGGAGGAGGAGGAGGGATGAGGAGAGGGAGGAGGGGAGGAGGAGGAGAGGGAGGGGGAGGAGGAGGAGGAAGAGGAGAAGGGGAGGGGGAGAAGGAGGAGAAAGAGGAGGGGGAGGAGGAGAAAGGAGGAAGGAGTAAGGAGGAGGAGGGAGAAGGAGGTAGAGGAGGAGGAGGAGGAGGAGAGAGAGGGAGGAGGAGAAGGAGAAGGAGAAGGAGGAGCAGAGGAGGAGGAGGAGGAGGAGGAGGAGGAGGAACGGGCAGGAAGGGGGAGGCCTCGGGGAGGTGCGGCTGCGGCGGCGGCTCCCGCCGCGGGGCCCGCGGCCGCGCGGAGACCTGCGGTGTGGCAGCACGCGCCCCTCCGGCCCCTCCCACGGGGGAGCAACAGAACACCCCTGGACGTGTTCGACCGTGGGCCCCTCCTCCTCCTCCTCCTCCTCCTCCTCCGCCCCACCTCCCTCCACCTCCTCCTCCTCCTCCTCCTCCTCCGCCCCCTCCTCCTCCTCCTCCTCCGTCGTCGTCCTCCTCCCTCCTTCTCCTCCTCCTCCTCCTCCTCCTCTTCCTCTTCCCCCTTCTCCTTCTCCTCCTCCTCCTCATTCTCCTCTTCCTCCTCCTACTCCTCCTCCTCTTCCTCTTCCCCTTATCCGTCCTCCTCCTCGTCGTCGTCCTCCTCCTTCTCCTCCTCCTCCGCCTCCTCGTCCTTGTCCTTGTCCTCGTCCTGGTCCTCCTCCTCGTCCTCCTCCCCTTGTCCTGCTCCACGGGGAGCACGGATGCGCGGTAAGGATGCAAGCGCTTTGGAAGGCCATGCCGACGTTTTTTGAGCGGGACGCGGCCAGCGAAAGTTGCTAGGCATGGGCCGAAGAAGCAAGGATGTAAGGGCAGCCTTGGGAAGTTGCTCATCCCTACTGTGCGGATAAACTGTAACACGTCCATCCTGGTCCCCCTTGCCAGAATGAGGAGTGGGAGGAGGAGGAAGAGGAGGAGGAGGAGGAGAAGGAGGTGTAGGAGGAGGAGGAGGAAGTTTAGGAGGAGGGGGAGGAGGAGGAGGAGAAGAAGAGGAGGAGGAGAAGAGGAGGAGGAGGAGGAAAAGGAGGAGGAGGTGGCGAAGGGGGGGAGGCAGGTGGGGGTGGGGTGCATTCGATGTGCCGCTCATGCCAAAACGCCCGTCCCGGCGCCCGCGGAGGAGCCCTGCGGGGACCGAAGGCAGCGAGCCAAACAACTCAGGGGCCCGTTTCCCTCACCACCCAAATAGCTGGTTGTTGCTGCTGTGGTTGTTGTTGGTGGTGGTGTTGTTAGTGTTGGTTGTGTTCTTATTATTGTTGCGATTGGTTATATGTATTTACCTATTTGTTTTTGTTCTCTCTCTCTCTCTCTTTTGTTCTCTCTCTCTCTCTCTCTTCGGGGGTTGCTGAAGGTGCCCCTGGCCCAAAGTGCCCCCCCTGGGAACCTCTGGGCCTCGTGCGGGCTGCTCTGGAGGCCGTGGCGGCCTCCCTGGAAATCCCGCAGGCACCTCGGGCCGGGGGCACTTCTAGCAGCACCAGATCTCTCTCTCTCTCTCTCTCTCTCAGAGAAGGAGGAGGGGGAGGGGGAGGGGGAGGGGGAGGAGGAGGAGGAGGAGGAGGAGGAGGAGGAGGAGGAGGAGGAGGAGGAGGAGGAGGAGGGAGGAAGGAGGGAGGAGGAGGAGGAGGAGGGGGAAGGAAGGACTCTCTCTCCCTCCCCCACAGCGGAGCCACAACTCGCTGAAGCAGGGCTGAAGCCCCGAAGGCGTGTCTCCCGCCACGCGCAGGCCGAGAGAGCCTGGACCAGGATGTGGAAGGGGTAGGACGACGACCACGACGAGAGAGGGACGGAGAGCCCGACGAGGGAGGAACGACGACCACAACGAGGGGTAGGACGACGACCACGACGAGGATGTGGAAGGGGTAGGACGACGACCACGACGAGGAAACACGTAGCCTGGCCCGAGGGGCTTCAACGCGTTGCTCACCCCCGATTCGTTGCGCAACACGTGGCGGCAAGAACAGGCCCCGCTGCACCACCAGTAGCAAGAAAGAGCCCTTTCCCTTTATGCCGACATCTTCGCGTCGGCGTCGGCGACGTCGTCGTCACCGTCGTCGTCACCGTCGTCGCCGTCGTCGTCGTCGTCGTCGTCGTCGTCACCATCGCCGTCGTCAGCATCGCCGTCGTCACCAGCGCCGTCGTCACCGTCGTCGTTGTCGTCGGCGACCTCGTCGTCGCGTCGGCGTCCCCGCCGTTGCGTCGGCGCCCTCGTCGACGCGGCAGCGTCGTCGTCCAACGGGGCCCCGCCACGCCTCGCCGCGCCGCCAGGGCCGCCCCCGGGCGAGCGGCGCCGGGGCCTGCGCAGGCGCCCGCCGGGGCGGCTGGTGCTGGCGGCCGCTTGCTCTTTTCGGCTGTCGTGTGCGGGCCGCGGGACTAGGCTGATGCGACGCAGCCCAGGGCTGGGGCTGCCTGTTCCACCCCCTCCCCTCTCATCCTCCCCCTCCCCTCCCCCTCGTCTCCTGCGTTTTCGCCAAGGGGCTCGCTTGCGCGTGTAAAAAAGTGCGGGAAAGGGAAACGCACGCGGCTGGGCTTAGGTCAGCCTTGGCCGTCGGCGTCACCCCCCCCTCCCCAAGCAATCAAAGGCAGCAGCGTGGAATAAAAATTCCCCACTGCAATGTCCCAGCGGAGAACCGCGGCG